TCAATGCAGACGACTAAATTACACTGACCCCTTATTTAATTAGTCAATTAAATTGATATTTTTTTATGAATATGGTCAAATGATTAGATACTTATTAATTAATGATTCACATATTTGTCTTTGATGGATTTGGGAGATGATGGCTCATTTGTTTTTTCCATTCGAAAATTTTACAAGGAGCCGGAAAGATAAGACAGAAAGACATTTTTCTTGACAGAAATTTTGAGTTAGTACATATGAGCAAAATAATCCTCTTTTTTAAAAATAAATAAATTATACTTATAAATTAAATATTTTATCAATGTACAATTACATATCACAAAATTGAGATTTAGGGTCCATCATTCTGCTTGTGTGTATGTGAAATATACAAATGGGCAACAACATACACATGAGCCACTGTCAGTGACGGATCCAGGAAATTAATAAAGGGTGGACACTTAATATATAAGTTCAAGTACCTGGGTCTGGTCTGGAACGTGACTTGTGAGTCGCTGCCGGCTGGTTGGATCTGGTTTAGATCTAGATCTGGACGGATTGCGACTCAATTGGACCGACGATGGAGGAAGAAACAAATGTTCCAACTTCCAATAACGAAAATTGAGGAGGTTTGAGAGGAGATGAATAGTACGTAGATGCAAACGATGAGTATGGAATAGAGTTGTCTGCTGTTAGGTTTTGATAATGAAGGTGGAGGAGAGAGAGAAAAAACTCGAAAAATAAAATAGAATGAAGAAAATTAAATGGGTAGGATATCGTAACAACTAACTAGAGTTACTACCAACGTTACTACCAACGACCAATTTCACCATCGATTATGGCAGTTATATTTAATTCTATCTTTGTATGGTTATGATCCCCATATTTAATGTAAAAACATTAAATATGGGAAATCATAAGTATTAAATATGAAAAATCATAATGAAAATAAATATAAAATATTAAATATGGAAAATCATAACTATACAAAGATGGAAATAAATATAACCGTTGGATCAACATAATCGATCTAACGGTGAAATTGATTGGTAGTAATATTAATTAGTAGTAACCCTAATTGGTTCTTACAATATCCTACCCATAAATTAAATTGGAAAAATTTGAATTTTAATAAAAGAATATTTTTATATTTTTGCATCATATTTTAAGGGTGGACACTTACCCCCTTCTAATGCACCTAGACCCGCCTCACGCCACTATCAATTGTAACTCTTGACATATTTGTGCACAAAAGTTTAACATTACACTGAACTGTTAAAGCAAATATTGACCATTTGCATAATAGTATGGAAGACTACAAGTAGGATTAACAACTTCATAATTTGATTCTATCTTCGTCGGCATCATCTTATGCATTCAACACCATGGTACGTAAAACCTGGTTTCGATATGCTATCTTATTCAAGAACTCATATTATTCTATATATACCCCTGTCCCATATCCTGCCACCAGATTGATGCTGCTGCTTTTGAACTGCTTGTCACAACTTTATACAGCATCACATTATCACAGGACTACTGAAATATTTTGGGTACACAAGCAAGAGATTTACTCCAATTCATAGCCCCCTAAATCTCATAGACATAGCTATATGTTTTCCACAATAAGTCTATCAATATCATTTCTAACATTTTCATTTAAAAAATAAAATAAAATAAAATTTTTAGTCTATGTGCAAAAATAATTAATTAAATGCAAGACGTAAGGGGAAAAAAAAGGCTTGGATGGGTGCAAACATGGAGTGCCCTTGTTTTTTTATATGTTGATTATGATCATATAATTGTTACATAATACATACAGTGGTCAAAGATTAGTGTTACTGTGTTAAGCACTATATACAGTGATATATCCAGCCAGAAAGTGAGAATAAATTAAATATCCAGGTATTATATATAGCTAATTACAAAAAGAGTGGACTTTAAACTAAAGCCAGCATATCTTCCTAGATCCCTGCCTACCGACGAAGATTAGTTTCATTTAATATATATAAAGTTTACTTTATGGCTGCCACTATATTCTTCTTTTATTCGAAGATGACTTTCATTGTCTCCATTCATTGATTTTAACTAAAGCAATTTAACATTAAAGGGACAACGTAAACACTTGACAAAACAATTACTATCAACATTACTTTAAGGTAGTTAAATTATCGAAACCATTTTGTGCCAATATGATAATTTAATTACAATAACAAAATTTTCTTCTAAATGTACATTGTAAAAAACTATGTATTTGATCATGGAGCTTGAATATGATTATTACGTACTTAATTATGCATATATAAATCATTTTATTTTGGGGTTTTTGTTCGCTTTTCCGCGGACATTGTTAACCTTAATTAATATAATAACTTGGCTAATTGCTTGAAGGTCAACAGGATCAAGAACCAAAAGGCCAACACTAACACTCTAACTTTGAAGCAAGGCTTTGCTACAGTTCGTATAGATAAGTAGAAAACGAGAAATGGAAAAACAAATTATTTTATTACTAGGACTAGATCGAATATCTAAACATGTGCATCACGTATTAATTTAATTGGTTAATAGCTTGTATTTAAATTACCATAAATAGGAGGTGCAAAGAACCGCACGCGGTATAGTTAGTTGGCAGCAAAACCTTACGTTAGCAATGACACAAATGAGTTCATTAAATAAATCAAAGTATGGCGACATTTATAGTATTTGTTTTTTGTTTTCAATAGAGAAGACCAAAATTAAAACTAAATCTTCAAGAAACCTTAGCATAAGAAATTTGTTCCCCTTAATCAGAAATCTCAGGAGAGCCACGCTTTATAATGAATCTGACAATATTCTAATCGGATTAGTTGGATATTCGATAAACTGATAAATATATCCAAAAGTAAAGCTTCTATATAAGTTTTAGAGTAAATATTTTTTTTGGTCCTCAGTAAATTTCACAATGCCCGTTTTAGTCCCTAACAAATAAAAAGGCTCATTGTGGTCCCTAAGAAATTCAAAATGGACCTATATAATTGAAATTGTGGTCCCTCACAAATTCAAAGAAGATCCATATTAGTCCCTAAAAGGATTAAAATAAGTCCATTTTGAATTTCTTAATGACCATAATGGGCTTTTTTATTTGTTAGGGACTAAAGCGGGCATCATAAAATTTACTGAGGACCAAAAAAGATATTCACTCTAGTTTTTAATATTTGAGGTTGGGATACAATCGTCTCAAGAAAAGGATAAATGTTTTAATTAGAAGAAGTAATAGATACATACAAGAAAAAGAATGATGAGCACTACTATATAGGCATATCATGATGTTATGATGTAGCCTTTCCAGAGAAGCCTTAGGTCTCTATTCTTATATTTGTCGCCAAGTTAACACAAAGGCTCCATAGTATATAGGAACGTTATAGTATGACGGGACGGATCTCTGAGAATTGTTTTGCCTATTTTTCACTATGTTTGCTGGTGACAATGGCTATGTATAATACGATGTATCATCGCTAAATGTAGACAAGCTACCATTGCATTGATTAGTCAATCCAAACACCTGATCAGATGAATTTAAGGGCAAAGAATCTCTCACCTGTTGGACTCAATCAAATATGAAACCTAATCATTCTCATCATTACACATACCATGTCTAGATATATAATCATGCAAAGTAACCATATGTACCATACTATCTAATTCCTCAACAGTTAACGTGAATATGCAATTGCTTTTCAACACCAATGTTAATTAGCTAGGAAAAGGGTGTGTGCAGAGACAATTATTTAAGCTTCAGAAAGTTATGTCATATACGGTAGGATATTTTGACATTAGTGTCAAAAATTTGAAGTTTGACACTTCGAGCAGTTAGATCAAAAAAAATCAATGGTGTCACATGCTTACAATCAGAGTCGTTGATTTTTTTTATCCAATGGCTCTCAAATAAGGTGTCAAATTTCAAATTTAACACTGGTGTCAAAAGGATCCCACCCCATATATATATATATATATATATATATATATATATATATGGGAAAAGTATTTCTACAGCCACTTTAGATAAGGTTATCTACAGCCACCATTTTTAATTATGTTCTCTCAGGAGAACATAGTTATAATATTAAAGTTGTTTTTTTCTCTTTCTCCACATCAGCAAACATGTTCTGAAGAGTAACTGAGGAGAAAAAAAAAAGTAATTTTACTATTATAACTATATTCTCCCGGGAGAACATAGTTAAAAATGGTGGCTGTAGATAATCTTACACCAACAGGAGAACAATGATTTTATGACAACTTAAATATTATTACATAATTAAGTCCATTGATTTCATGAATGTTCAGGTGCGCCTTAATCATACATGTCCTCCGGTTAGATGTGGATTTAGTTAAATATACAACAAGTGTACTCTAATTAATTGCGTGCACCTTTTCAGTTTTTTTATTTTCTGTCTTATATACACAGTGTTTTACTTTTTGCAGAGTGTCAATGCATTTATTACTAAATAATAATACTAACAAAAATATTTAAATGTTAAGCAACCCCACTACGAGAGAAGAAAAATCAGGCCAAATCCCCCATTTTGGTCCTTGTGTTGATAGAGTCACAATTCTAATAGCTGTAACCATCACAACAATATATAGCCCCCCTTGGGTTTTGGTTCTTACTGTATGACAAACTTTGGATGCTTTTGTTTTCTTATTAGAGAAACAAAAAAAGAAGAAATCACCGAGTGGTTTTATACACCAACATTGAAGATTAGAAAGTTCTCCCTAACAAATTATCAGTCCACAAAAGAATAGTGGTAAATTAAATTAAATTGTATATATAAACGTCCAATCCATGCTTTCATTTCAGTAGTTCATCTCTCCCTCTCTCTGAGATAATAAAATAACAATTTATTAACTGTTCAAAAACCATATTTGTTGTTATAAGGCACAACAAAAGCAGTCCATACCAATGTTTCATTTTAGAAAGTGAGAGTTCAGAATTCCCAATACACTTCAAGAGAGATCAGAGTTATCCATAGAGATCTAGAGAAATGGGAAGAGCTCCTTGCTGTGACAAGGCAAATGTGAAGAAAGGACCATGGTCACCAGAAGAAGACTCAAAGCTGAAGGATTATATAGAGAATCATGGAACTGGTGGGAATTGGATTGCACTTCCTCAGAAAGCTGGTAAGATCACATTATCACAGTAACATAAAGCTCTCACCATTTCTTAAAAAAAAAAGAAAAAATGCTCCAAGTTGTCTAGTTTAAACCTAGATATCCTTTCTAAGATTTCATATATATTCCCTCTCTCTCTCTCTATCTATCTAAGATGCTCTGATTCTGATTTATGATTAGGTCTAAGGAGATGTGGAAAAAGTTGCAGATTGAGATGGCTTAACTATCTCAGGCCCAACATTAAGCACGGAGAATTCTCAGATGAGGAAGACAGAATAATTTGCAGCCTTTATGCTAATATTGGAAGCAGGTACTAGTTTATTACTGCCATTTTTTATGCAACACTACAAATATATATATATAGTTAGACCCACTGGCAGTAGAACATAAAACAATTTTTTTTTGCTCTTTCTGACTAACAATCTAATCTGACATTAATTATCCAGATCCAAAATATTGATATATGGACATTCTTATATGTTACTTTTTTTTCCTCCAATCATCAACTACATATATGCTGTATAGTGGAATGTTGATGAAGTCTATCCATCTATCTAAAGGAGTAAAAAGACAAGGGAAAGAGGAAAACAAAAACACTATAACTAGGGATTTTACCATTTTAAAAACCCTGTAGTTATGTAGAATCTGCCTATTTTAGATCTAGCTAGCAGCAGCAGCCACTTGCAAATGTCTGTTCAATGAAGACATTGATTTTTATTTAATTTTTTTTCCATCATTGGCTTTTCATGTTATTGCAGGTGGTCAATTATAGCAGCTCAGTTACCTGGAAGGACTGACAATGATATCAAGAACTATTGGAACACCAAGCTAAAGAAGAAGCTAATGGGGTTGCTTCCTGAATCTCATCAAAGAAAACCACCCTATCATCAATCCTCTCCTCAAAACCCACCACCATTTCCTTCTCATTCACTTTCCTCATCAATTTATGGAGATTATTGCAGCTCTTATTATAGCCCAGCAGCAACCACATCTTTCACAGGCCTTGAACCAATTTCTGTTCCTTCAAGTAATTACACAAACACAAGCTGCACAACAACCTCAATTTCTCTCCCATTTAACCAAAACCAAGAGTCCTTGGTTAGTGTTAGTCCCATGCAATATTACCCTATCACAACAGTGTTTGGAAGTGAAGGAAGTTGCAGTTCCTCTGATGGAAGCTGTAGTCAGGTTAGCCATGGCAGGGAAATCAAACAAGAAGAAATGGGGTTTCAGAATTTCATGTCAAACGGGTTTATGCCTAGTCACATAAGCATTAACAATAATGGAGGTGGTGAATATATGAACCAGTGGGAAGAAAAGCCAAATGGGTGTTTTTTCCAAACACAAACCCCATTGGATTATGATATTGATGTTATTAAGCAACTAATTAGTAGTAGCAATGGAAGCAGTAATAATGGCTACTTCAGTATTGATGAAAACAAGATGGAGGAGAAGGGTATGTACAACTATTACTGAGTGATGACTCTGACTGAAAGTAAAATCAGAAAGATATGATGTTGCAGTAAGATAAGAGGCATGGTAGTGAAGACTTTGAGCCTTCTGGGGTTCTGTGTTCTTTGATGAAATGGGACATTTCTTATTTTGACAGTACATGGGAAAAGTTTCTTTTATATTTTGTGTATACTATCTTGGAAGTGATGAACTGATGATCTTGGAAGTGATGATGGCGATGATGTTAGATATTTTGTTAGTATTCTCTCGGTGCAAGTGCAATCCCCCCTAATCAAACTTTAATGTTTTGAATACCAGAAATGAAAGCTTCTTTATATTAAAAAAGAGTTTTGCTAAAAATATTATTTATCAATCACTTAAAAAAATTGACCAGATATCTTGAGTTTGTGCCCTAGGAGTGAAGAAAATGTTTTTGATAGAGTCGACTTGTACAACGAGTCTAATAGTGTTTAAATCGGACTAATAAAATAATTTATGAATTTGGTAAATGTATCCAAAAATATTAATTTTTTAGTTTTTGATTTATACTTATTTTTTTAATGATAACATTTATTTTTAATTCATTTACAATTTAATTGAAATGTGTAATTATTTAATTGTTATGTCTTTTCATGATTTTTTTCTGGCTAGATTTTAGTACTTGAATTTGTAAAGGCCCTCGAGATTACTAAATTTGTACTGCTAAACTCGAATTAAAAAAATAAATTCAGACAACTAATTATTGTGATCCTAAGTTGGGGTTTGTCAGAAATAGCAATATTGATGAGTTAAGCATCCTGCTGAAGAATCTTTTGTACAAAGTCAGGATGGAAGCTTGTTTACTACGTACAAAGCTCGATTATCTTAACATTAATAAACAAAAAAAAGCAATGATGGCCCAAAAAGAAAGAGTGTGATGGTGGCGAAATTTTGTTGTCTTGTGTGGAAGTCTGGGAATTCAAGCTGTAAGAATAACTTGAATAATTAAACATAATCTTAGCTATTCTGCACTAGTTTTTTTTAATCTATCCTCAGACTAATAAAGCAAAAGCCACCAAACTTCTATCTGATTGAGTTTGTGCGAAACATATACTAGTCTTTGATAAATATAATATATGGTATCAACAAACACGGAAATATATATTGGAAAAACTATTCTCACGTCACGTAAGACAAGTTTTCTCTCCTACACACCATTCGATAACTGTGTCATCTTTTTTTTTTATTTTATTTTATTTTTTAAGGTGGTGGAGCCCACTAGTTTGTCTTTATGACATGAGATAACTATCTCCTTTAACATGAGATTAATAAAATCCAATATATATATATAGGGAAAAGTGTTTGTCATTTTAAATAACAGAAAGTTATGTCATTTTAAGATAGATATAGATACAGAAAATTTGAATTTTAAATTAAAAAAAAAACCACTCACTTTCTCACTCCCATGATTTCCGTTTTTTTGTGTCTATCTCTCTCCTAAAATAACATAACTTATGTCATTTAAAATGACAAACACCAAACCCATATATATGTGTGTGTGTGTGAATTAGCCCTTGAATATTGTTTAAAGATTTGCATTTTTTTAATTTAAAATTATTGTTATGGAATATTATCCATATCCTAACTACGAATCCCTTAATAGATAATGACTCAATTATCCTAACAAAGTGGAACAGTCAAGATAAAGAGGATAGAACCTTTATCCCTAATATTGAGTAGTTGAATCCTACACCAGCTGAGAGATCTACACAGCTCAAAAGGTAACTCCTATAAATACAAGGCTTAAGACCCCCAGGTACACACCTTCTGAACTCATTTACTACTTCTGCTCATACTGTGCACATAAGCCTATTACTAGTGCGCAATAATTGGGAGCTTGGCTATAAGCTAACCGAGATATCTATCTCTAAAATATTTCTGAGCGCATACTATATAGTATATCATTACTGTTCACTAGGACCGAAAACAATTGTCAATGAATCAAATTATCTCGTCACATGGACTTAATTAATTAGTAATTTATTAAATAATTGTTTTTAGGTGAAATATCCTCATGATTTAATGGTTTAACTAGCAAAAGATCATTCGGTATACACAATATATTTCTTATTGAATTTGATGGCCCCCCATATACGATCGAACCTCCCTTAATTAAATGCCATTCGTTTCGTTTTTGGAATCGAAGAAAGACAAGATCGTCACTAACAAAATCAAACACCATATTCTCATCTTTATATATAGATTACACGTCTCTCTCAACGTATATTTATAATTTTCATATGATTAATAATCTCTGGGCACTTAAAAAAAAGCAGGAAAAAGAAAAAAAGGATAATTCGTTGCAAAGAGAACCCTAATGTGTTGAAGAACTGATCAAAAACTGCTTATGCATTTAGGCACTACACAATAAAATCATACAATAGATTCATTAATTAGGATTAATATTTTAATTTGTACTGTTCACACAATATTGCCGTTTTATTTATGAAAATAATCGTCGGCAAATTAAATGTGCCACTGCCATATAATCATAAGTAAAAAAAAATTAGTTTGTTTCCAAGGCATTAGGCATTGGAAGTGCAGTACGGAACACGAACAGCAGAAGTTAATGGAGAAATACTATGTAAGTCGTATTTGGGAATCCCCATTGGGAAACCACTGCAAAAAGGCTCCAAAATTTCATGGTGACCAAGACTTCAGTCAGAGCATACTTGCACATTTATCAAATCACCCTCTACGACTACCATGATAGTAAGACTTCAATTTTTATTCTCAAAATAAATTTATGCAATAATAATAAGGGGTTTGATTTTCTCATGTTGAATGATAATTCAATTCTCATGTTGTAGAGATAAAAAGTATGTGGGACTCATGTGTTAGAAAAAATTATATGTTGAACCCATGTCAGCACGGAAATCGAAGGGTGTGTAAGAATATTTAAATTCTCATGTTGAATGAGAATTATAAAACCCTAATAACAATAACCAAGAAAAGAATGATTATTTACTCTACGAGTAGCAATACCCAATTCTCCTAATACTTGATTCTCTGTCCCTCATCATCAAGTCTTAAGAATTTTCCTATTAAAAATAAAAATATTAATGAATTGTTGTTTTAGAAAAATCAAATGGTTATAATTGACTAGTTAATGACGTGTCAATTGTTCAACTCATTGTCAGTAAATCTGCAGTATTAAACTATTCTGCATTATTATTTAATCGCAATCATTTTAGAGAAAATGTTTTTTATTCAGGAATTATTGTCTTTTCTGGTGAAGTATAAAGGTCAATAGGTATGGCCCTATGAAGTCTGACACATTAAATTAGCAATTTCTGCTTTTATTTTATTTTTTTATAATTAATATATTTATTCATAAGGTGTTAGTTGTAAACTAACAAGGTATTCAGAAGGTATTGGTCAGGGAAGTAGATTCTCTCGTGTGAAAATGTGGTCATGTTATTTGATCATAATCACTCATTTAAAAATTATATATTTTTCTCTCTCTTATCTCATCATCAATGAGATCCACTCCCGTTAATTAGTTAGTTGTAAGATATTTGTAGTGGACGTGGAAAATTGCATCGATGCATTGGGAAGAGCCGAAGAGGCATGAATTTCATAAGTTTTTTCTGATCAAGAGGTTTTTTTTTTTTTCAATTATTACACTTTAGACAAAATTTGCATATATGAAAGTCAGCTCAATATGTTACTTTTATAGAGCCAATAAAAATTAACTCATCTAATTTTCGAACAAACAAGCATGCACACGAGTTACTCTATTCACTGGACAGTTTCTATCAACTTGTTCATGGAAAACTTTCCACTTATAATAATATAGAAAATTAGCGATCGATTCGAGTGCACTGTAAACAAAATCATTAATTATTTTTATTTTGATATAATTAATTGCTTTCACACGCATAGATGAAAAAATAATATGTAACAGTTTGTCTGATTAATCTTTTTTATTTTCTCTTTACTGGGAAAGTTTCATTGCCGACAACTTAGACTGCATCACTAAGTTCACTTATTCTCTTGTTGTAGTGTTTGGACGGACACTACATATTGCCTGCAGAAACTTACTTGTCAGCTTTATTAAATATATCTTTTTTATTAAACAAATAGACTGATTATGGATAATTGACATCTAGATAGTATCTTTGTATAAGGGTAATTAATTCTAATTATTAATTAGGTATAGATTAGACATTAAAAAGTTGTACATTTTTTATGTTTCACATGTCTTGCATTGAAAAGTATGTAATATAATTAAAATATAAATATAAAATATTATAATATAATTAGAATAATATAACTTTAACACATTATTTTATATTGTTCTTATAAAACATAAAAATTATATAAATACAAAATAATGTGTTTTAAGTTACATTCTTCTTATATCTTAAACTTCTTACGAACATTTAACTTTTTACAGGTCAAGGTAGCTGTTGTTACATATTGACTTCTGATTCAGAACAGAGAGCAAAAGGTTCTTTTCAATTTTCAAATTGTCATAATCAATTTTATCGGGAGTGGTTGCACCTCTCAAAACCTTGTCTCTTCTGGTTACCATACCGGAGAAGACAAGTATACGATATACGCTGACTCGCGGAGATTACACTCTAAGGGCTCGTTTGTCCACCGGTATAGAATAAGAGTAGGATATGATATAAATGATAAGATAGGATATAATATGAGACTGATAAATCTATATCATGTTCTGTGTTTGATGAGCACTTGATTAGCAATCTGATAAGATTATGTAAAAGGAGAAATGAGAAAGAAAAAACAAAATATAATGCAATAAATACAAATATATTGAGTAGCGTGGGGATATATTGGATAAGGTGGAAATATATTGGGTATCCTATATTGATATCATATCCTGTTAAATCCTAATCTAGCTCCCCCGTAGGATAAAAAATTATGTATTAGATATGATAAAATGAGACAATAGGATAAGCTAATTATATCCTATTGACCCACTAAACAAGAAATAAAAAAAAGATATGATAAATTAT